TTGTGTATTGTGTGTAATTGTGTAAGTTTGTCTTGCCATTTTGTACATTGTTTTTCTATTTCTGCTTCTATTTTTGCTTCTATTTCTACTTCTATTTCAATTTTTATTTTTATTATTTTATATCATTGATAACATATTCTTTTTATTTGAAGTTATTTATTTTTGCCTTCAATTTTATTTTTATTCTTTTTTTTATTTTTTCTAATGCTTTTTCATCCATTTTATTTTATTCCCTTTTGTACAGCGCAAATGAGAAAAATGTTGTTTAGTTTACAAATTGGCCAACATTGCAATGCATGCCATGAAAATTGCTAAAAGTTATCAATTCGGTTTGAGCGATAAGTGCTCGACTTGGGCATTAAATAAATGGCAGCAAAAGCTTTCCGTTGTGTTTGTATTTGTATTTAATTCCATTTAAGTTGAGTGCGTTACAAGTTGCTTTTTTCAGTTAAATTTTTAAAAAAATTTTCGGCGATAAAGTTTTACCAAAACAAATTTTATCAAAGAAATGGTATTTTCACCAAAAAACTTTTTAAATAAGTTTAATTTAATAATTATGTTATAAAGCAATGAAATATGTATTAAACTTTTAAGGAAGTAGTAACAGAAACTTGTTATTGTTAACATATACTGATATTACTTCAAGCATTAACAGAAACCTGTTACTGTTAACATTTACTAATCTTAATTCAAGCATTAACAGAAAGCTATTATTGTTAACATTTACTGATCATACTTCAAGCATTAACAGAAACCTGTTATTGTTAACATTTACTGATATTACTTCAAGCATTAACAGAAACTTGTTATTGTTAACATTTACTGATTTTATTTCAAGCATTAACAGAAACCTGTTATTGTTAACATATATTGATCTTACTCCAAGCATTAACAGAAAACTGTTATTGTTAACATTTACTGATCTTATTTCAAGCATTAACAGAAAGCTGTTATTGTTAACATTTACTGATCTTATTTCAAGCATTAACAGAAACCTGTTATTATTAACATTTACTGATATTACTTCAAACATTAACAGAAGCCAATTATAGTTAACATTTACTGATCTTACTAACCCTAAACATAATTCCGTAAACAATTCAAGTCTAAAAATTATGTTTAATATTTTATCGAGATTGACTTTAGTGGGTCAGGACCGAGCATTAACGAAAACTTGTTATTAGTAGAATTTATCGAATGTATTTGCATATTGTATAAAGTATTTGTATATTTCTATACTTACGTACTATATGGAAGTTTAACATTTATGTTTAACAGTCCATGCGAGATTGACTTTACAAGGCGTCTACGTTCACTAAACTTTGGCAAGACTTTTATGTTCGAATGCAAAAACGTATAATATGCGAATTACATCTGCAAACATACAAAGTATGTGAGATAAAACACATACAAATTATGTGAGTGAAAAAATTCGAGTGTATGAAAAATTTTTACCAGAGTCGAGTCAGTATAAATGATGGATTTTTAAATTAAAACATTTTCAAGAGAAGCTGTCATGTCTCTATATACACTATGTTAAGAGTGATTCATGTTATTAACATATATAATAATAATAATAGAAGGTTAATTCTTTAAATTTACATTTTTACAGCTTTACAAAACAATTTCGAATATTTTAGGATCCCATACAATTCTATGGAGTATAATTAATGATCGACGTACAGGCAAATATTGGTTTTTGATACTGAATATCTATTTCTCTACATTTAAAATCTCTAGTTCTGAAAAAGACTTAAGACAACCTACAATTAAACTATATAATCACAATATAGCGAGTTAAAATTTTACCAAACCCCAAATTTTAAATAGATGATAGTGAATTTGATAGTCTTTATCTACAAACTTTTTTCTTGAATAAATATTGTTTCCTATTTCCTGCAATTTCAAAAAAAAAAAAAAGATTTGGGAATCAAAAGGTTTAAATAACGTAGAAAGCAATGTTTTAATTTTTTTGTTATAGCTTATTTTTCGGTATACCTGTGGTAATCTTCTCTAAACTCAAAACATTTTCACATTGATCCAACAAGGGGAATTCCCCAAACCAAAATGAATCGGAAGATTATTATAAAAGATATGTTTATTCATTTCTACCGCATCATGACTATATAATGAAACAAACATTTTTTTTTTGATTAACTGAAATTAACTGAAACTCATTGATGGCAGTTTGGATTCATACGCCCTTTACTTATAAACAGTACCAACTATTCTGTACCTATAGTATTATTTCTTTATATATATGTTTTCTTTTTCTTAAGAATGCTGATTTAACTATATGAACTTAAAGATTTTTATGTGTAATATATTTAACTAAGTCGTATGTTTGACGCACTTATGATTCTAAAAACCTAAAATCTGAGTTAAAAAGAATCAAAATGGAATGCATTATCTTTGTTTAAAGTCATTGACATAACATAAGTACCTCAAAATACTTAAACTGTTCGATTATTTGGTACCCGCATTCTTGTTTAAGATGTTAGTTAAAATTGCTGTTTAATACAATGAGTTGAAATATTTTAGCACAAAATATTCGGTGATAGAACTAAATATTAATTATTCCATTAGCATAATTCCAATGAAAATTGTTAAAAATATTTCCCAATACTGCAATCTCTACGAACATGAATAGGCACTCAAGTGCACTTATCAGTTATTCATTTTGTTAACATTATTTTCAATTTAATATTTTTTTATATGTAAAAATTACTGAAAATAAATTTCCATAACTTTATCATAAAAATAACAGCGCCAACAACAATTTATAAACCAATTACCAAAAATCATTTTGAAATTGGTTTTTTGGTTACATTTGAATTTATGGCAATTGAATTCTCCAAACTAAAATATATTACTCAGATAAAATTAAATAAATTAAAAGCTAAAACTAATCACACTAAGTCAAGACCAAATCAATTACACGCTACATTTTTCTATATATCACCACATGTATTATATATAAACATAGGGAGTTGATGTTGTGGTTGTTAAGGACTACATAATCTATTTATTTATTTTTTTTTTTCATTGGATTATTTGTAATTCAATTGTTTTTAACGTTGACAATATTTATAAAAAGGATTTTTATAGACGTCTACAAACATTGAGTTGAGAAACATAGGAGACTAAAAAGTAACAATGCAAATTCAAAACTTATGTACAAAAATATTAAAGTAAAACTTAAAAGAAACAGATATTTATGTGAATAACAGAATAAGTCCATTTGAGGCGCAGAATCTGTTAACATATGAAATTATTTTGTATAGATTTTATATCAAAAATAACACTTACAAATTAATAATATTAATCATAAGTGTATTAGTAGATATTTTAATTATTTTTTGATAAATTGTTATCACGACCAATACGATTCAATACGATTTTTTTATGCCTTAGATTAACGACCTAACCCTAGTAATAATTTAAAAAAAAACGTATTAGTCATTTTTTACTTAATATTTTCCATATTATGGCTTAGAGAAGCAAATCAGAGATATTTAGGTTAATATCTGTATTTACAGGGTACTAGCATGGAGCTAGACTTAGCCTACCCTGTGGTAACTCCTGCAATGCGTGTGTACCAGCTCTCGAAGAAAGGACACCAGAACACCTGTTGTGTCTATGTCCACGTTTGGCCAGAACAAGGCTTAAGTTTCTAGGAGTTTCCTTCTTCAACACACTCGGCGATATTTTTTGCATTACCATTGACCAGATTCTTGTCTTTATTAATATCTGTGGCTGGTTTTAGCTTGACCTTCTCTCTACTACCCACTATTATAAGGTTTTGTGGACTCACAATGACTTTTTTAGCTAATTGAGATGGATTCGTTCCTCCCTCCACCACAAGTAACTAACTAACTATCCCTAAAAAGAATTCAATACTATCAGATAAATTTGTGGTGTCATTTACATTTTCAATTTAGTATTCACATTCTTATAGTGTGTAGGGCAAACATATCTATAAATTGAAATAGTCGCAAAAACATTTAAATAATGAAAAAATAATGCTTAGTTTCAACACATTATTTACAATTTATTTTAAAATTTTAAATTCAAATATTGTCAAGTAAAATTTATTACCAAAATAAAGTGTAAAATACCAAAGAAAATAAAACACTACGTAAAAAGACAACAACAAAATAACACCAAACCAAACAATAACAAAACAACAAAAATAAGCTAAAAGAAACTTTTTTCAAAATAAAAAAGCATAAAAAATAAAAAAGTGCTTTTCAGGAGCACATATCGAATTATTAAAAAATAAAAAACAAAAAAAAAATTTGAAAAAACCTGTGTTGGGAAAATACTTTTGCAGCATGATGAATGACAATTTTTATCTGATTTGTGTGTGCTGAAAATATGTACATGTTTACAACGCACACACATGTAGAAGTAACACACATACACAGACAGACACATAGACAATAGAGCGAAACTAACTAACAACGCATAAAAATGGTAGCTTGAAAAACGGGTGCAATAATGTTGCATAAAAAGGATAAAAGAAAAATAAAAAAATAATAACAAAATAAAAAGAAGAAATAGAGTACAATAGAGCAACGAAAAAAATAAATAGGGAGAAAAAATTGTATAAAACAAAAGCAGAAAAATGTCAAAAATGCAGTTGAACAACAAAGGCACAAAAAGCCAGAAATGCAGAAATGCAGTCAACCAAGCGAAGTATGCGCTATCATTGCAACAAAATGGCGCATCAATTTTAAAACAAAAACATAAATACTAACAAAGGCGAAAATAAAATGGAGAAAATACAAATAACAAATAACAACAACAAGTTTACAAGAACTGAAAAATAGTTATCATAAAAAGTACAGATAACAACAGAATGTTGCGCTGCTAAATGAGGAGTGGAGTCTGGAGAAGTATTCAGGCTGCCATCTCCATTTGCTACACAATGGCAATAGTGTCCTGCATGTATGAGGGGATGTACAATATATGTACATTGTACATATATAGGTACGATGTCAATAAAATATGCGCATAGATAAACACTTACCAGCTAACACTGATGTTGAGTTATGGCGCGGATCGTACGGACAAACGGCCTGACCGTTTTTAGTTGCCTCGAGGGTGTAGTTGCTCTCGTTGATAATGTAGGTATTGCACATGGGTCGGAATGAGTTAGTGCCGCAAACAAAAAGACGTCCCGGTGATGTTACAACCATGATGCGTATGTAATTCTGGCAAGCTTCCTGCAAATACAAAACAAGAATATTGCGAGTTGAATAAAAGAAATATTTGAATTAGAAAAACATTGCGAAATCAAATAAGAAATAACAATACAGGATCAAAACGTCAGAAGATATTGAATATAAAATATTGCACATTTTTAATTAATTGAAAATAATTTTGATAAATTACTTTCAAATGTGAAAATAAAACTTTTTCAATTATGACTCTTATACATAACCATAATAATAAATAATATTCGTTAAAATAATATATTATTTCATACACGTACACACGTATGTTTTGTATTTTTTTAATTAAAATAATAAATTTGAAACAACAAAAATTAAGTTCATAAATATAAATAAATAATTACACATTTATTTATTATATATGTGTGCAATATAGACAACGGAATCAAGAGCATGACGTTTAGATATATTATTATGTTTAAACTATTTGAGGCAGTGCACTTGAGCACTTTTGTTCTTTAATAACTCGAGGTATCTTCAAAACCCCTCTTTACGTCTTGACTGGATTATTGTTTATCACTTCATCAGACTAAGCAATAATTGACCTCAGATCTGCATACCTCCCCGAGGAGCCTGTAACCATTCTGAGATTCGATAACTCATGAAGTCGCATTAGTATGACTTTGTCAGTATTATGTGCGTAGATTAGGTTCTATACATAAGAAAAAATATGTAAATCATGCAACAAATAATGGCTCTACAAACAGAATAGCATCGAAATTCAACAATTGGAAATAATAATATAATTAATTAATTCTATTATTCTACAGCTGATTTATGATTTCGTTCTAATATAAAACACAGCAAGTGATTTTGTAAGTCAATAAAACTTTCAAAGCAAATTAATAAAACTCCAGAAAAATGTGCGAATATAAAAAGTCAAGTACGGCTTTGGGTTGATTGGTTAATGAGCGCTGCCTCTGAGCTTCAAATTTGGCAGGGCACGAGCTCGATTTCTAGTACTTGCAGTCTCAAAAAATTTTTTACAAATAATTAAATACTTATTTTCAAGACTACCGATGATGGGTATTTGGCAATATTTGAAACAGCTGTATGGTCAGCCAAAAATTCAATTAATTAAAATAATATAAAAATAAATTTTTGTTTTTGTAGTTTACTACTGTTCGAAAAACCTCTTTATGATTTTATTAATATTAATTTTTGTTAGATCCTCATTCTGACAATGAATCTCAAGGAGAGTCGAAATATGTATATAATATATTAAAACATATTAAACAAACGTTTACTTTTAATTTTAACGAAAAGTGACCTATACTCGAATAGAAAATATAGAAAAAACTTTGTAAAAAAAAACCAGGTCGAGAAACAAATTCAAAATTTAAATAAATAATGGGTAATAATATTTTCAATAAAAAAAAATTTTAATTGGAAACTTCGTTCTGCTTTATTCTCTCAACGAACACTGCACACTGTAATGTGAATAATATTTTTCCCCTCCGAAAAAAATTCATTATTTAATGCATAATTTAGCGACGAAATAATTCATCTGCAACAATTAAATATTTCTCCCTAAAAATATGCAATTAAAATTAAATCTTACGAATGACTGCCGTATACAAGATACGTAATGAATAATAATTATTACTGGAAGATATTTGTTCTCTTACACAGTTGCCTTTGCTGTTATTGAAAAGCAATGTGCAAGAATGAGCTTAGCGGTGAATAAGCTGCTGATACAAATATGCGTCACTCGGATGACTATACTTTTGAATCTGTCAAGGATTTCATCTACCTTGACACCGCCGTAACAAACAACAATGATGTGTGCCTGGAGATCAGACGAAGAATCATCATTGGTAATAGGTGCTACTATGGGCCCAGTAGGCAACTGGGATGTAGAGTTTCCTCTCAACAAACAAAACTTACATTCTATAGGTCGCTCATCCTTTCTGTGCTTCTGTATAGCGCAGAAGCATGGACATTATCATATGATGAAGCAACACTGGGAATATTCGAGAGAAAAGTACTACGTAAAATCTTTGGTCCTTTGCGAGTTGGCGACGACTACCGCATACGAATGAACCACGCGCTGTATGAGCTTTATCACGACATCGCTATAATCCGCGAGTTAACATTCAGCGGTTTGGTCGTGTCGTGAGAATGAATAAAGATGCTCTAGAGAAGAAGGTGTTTGAAGCAGTAATTGGAGGAAGAAGGCGCAGAGGTAGACCGTGTCTCTAGTAGAGTGATCAAGTTGAGGAAGTACTAACTGGACTTGATGTACGAGATTGGAGAGAGGTGCGAACGCAACAGAGGCGCCTAGAGAGATATGCTGTATCAGACCGAAACCCAATAACGGATTGTTATGGCCACATAAGTAAGTAAATAAGTATTATTTAATCATTTCAGGAAGATGTGGTATTGTTGTTTAGTTGGTGAGCCATGCAGGACAAAACTTTTTATAACTAAATATACGGACCTATTCTGTGTACTTTATAAACTTGTCAAACATTGACACTTGTCAAAATTGACTACTATAAAGGTTTTGGTATTCTGTGACATAAAAAACAAGCTCTTTTCCTTGTTAGTAGTCAATACTACAAATGCTGTTGACAACTATAAAAATATGCTCTTTTTAAGCATTTTTTATTTTTTGCATGCATGACAAATATTCTTAACTAAAATATACGCTCTTTACAAGCATATTTTTTATTGTTATTTGAATGCATGGAAAATACCTTTGGTAACTTAAAATATGTGCTCTTTACAAGCATTTTTTACGAACAGTTACGAACAATTACGAACAGTTTTCTATACAAAACACTTTACACCATAGTGTGGTGAGAAGTGCACAGAAGAGGTCCGACAAATTAATGATTTCTTATGACACATTTAAATCACTTAAACTCCAAGTCCAAGTGGATCCTAAGTTTCGCCGGTATAATCTAGTCTAACCTAAACAATTATTATTTAATTATTATATATAATTATAGTAGACCTTAGATACATTTTCAATTGGTAATTTAAAAAAAAAATATATTTTTTAATTCATTTGAATTATTTATGTAAGAAATATTTATTTTTATTTATTTTTTTAGCAATCACACAATTCAAAAATAATTTCAAAATTAAATAAAAACAAATGCTACATTTAAGCCAAAAGCTAAAAATTAAAATAGCGCAAAATGTTGTAAGTAAATAAATAAATAAATAAATAAATAAATAAATAATACAATGAGAATGAAAAGAAACGTATGCAAATACAATTGCGATTTTAAAATTCATTAATGAAAACACGAATAAAATAACATTAAACGTATATTAGGGCAACAAAAGGCAGAAGAAGTTGGTTAGGATGGTGCAGAAGAGAGCAGGAGTGAGCAGAGAATAACACAGAATAACGCAGTACGGCAGTCACGAAAAGCAAACGTTGTGCGGTGCCACTGACTAGATTACTTGCTCCTTGCTATTTACTACCTGTGCCATTCGGGAATTGCTGCTACTAAATAAAATGATACAAACAACAACAAAAACAACTATACAATGAAAACAACAACATCAGCGTACATTACAGTAATATCAACAACAATAACAAAAACGAGACTCGAAATGGGAGTTACAAGCATTTTTTTGAAAAATGTGTGTTTGTACTTTTTGCAATTGTTGTTCTTGTGTTCTAAATAGTGATTGTTGTTGTTGTTGCCATTATTGTTGTTTTAACTGAGAGTGCTGGTAATGCATGTTTTTCTTCTGTTGTTATTAGTTTAGATTTTTGTTATTGTTTTTATTTGCGAATATTTGTGAATATTTGTTTGGAAACATAGCATAAAAAATAAAGTTGAAGCTTCAGTGCTAGCAGAACAAAAGTAACAGCAGCTGTACAGAATACAATGCTGAGAAAGTAAATGGTGAGAAAGGAGATAGACCAAGACCTCTCTCGTGGTTCAGTATAGAACATGTTAAGTCAGGTGAATAAAATAAAGATTTACTAGAAGACCATAAGAATATCTTCCATTAGAAGCTGACTCTGAGCTTCAAATTTGTCAGGACACGAGATGGATTCCTGATACTTGCACTCTCCAAAAAAAAAAAAAAAATTATTTACGAATAATTAAATATAAAAATTATTTACGAATAATTAAATATAAAAATTATTTTCAAGACCACTGATGATGGATATTCGGCAATACTCAAAACAGCTGTATGGTCAGTCAAAAATTCAATTAATTATAATAAAAATAAAAATGAATTTTTGTTGTTGTAGTTCATTACTTTTCGTAAAACCTCTTTTAAAATAATATTAAAAACTTGAAATATAAAACATAATTAATGTTTAAAAATGTAACATAGTGTTAATACGTTATGATATTATTGCTACTATAGGGCATACAGTATGCCTTCACTATCAAACATATTTATAGTATTTACACTAACAACAACTATAGTTGCGCTACTGCCGGTGCTCACTGATCTCATAATAGGCAAACTTCATATATTTGAATGAGACCGGCTTAAAATTTTATCAAAAATGCATGCACACAAAGTTAATTATATATTTTAAGAAACAAAAAGCATAAACAAAGTCTATGCATTACCTTCAACAATATATTATGACCACTCATTTCACTAGTTTCTTTGGATTCATAAAGAACTGATGGGTAATGCCTCACTTACCCTCGCATATAAAGACATTTAATAGTGAGGAATTACAAACAATAGTACGATATATGTTGTTTTTGTTTGTTGGTCTAGTCAGTACCTAAAGACTTTACTCTGTTCGTGCCTTCCTATCTTACGCATGAACTAGAAGCTATGTATGCATTTGCATACAAAAAAATCCCTATGATTCGGAACCCAGATTAGAGAAATGTTGAACCACGTTGACATCTCGTTAAGCGACGTGTAACAATTAAAAACCGTATAAATAAGAGTTAAAAAATTCAAAGTGTTTATGGAACGATATTGTTGCCTAAAACCTTAATAAAGTAAATTTTAATTAATAATATCGGTGCAATACTCCGCCTTGGACA